TATATATATATATATATATATATATATTGTTTGATGTCCTTATATTGTTATATAATCTGTTATATGAATATATGTGATTTTCTTTGGTTGCTTTGGGAAGGTTGCTGCCCTATTCAAGGTTGGAAACAGCAAGGAACTTCCGGAAATTCCGGACCACCTATCAGATGAAGGCAAGGATTTTGTACTGAAATGCTTGCAGAGAAATCCCAGTCGTCGACCGACAGCCGCTCAGTTACTGGAGCACCCCTTTGTTAAAAAATGTAGTTCATTGGAAAGACCAGTTCCAGGGCCCTTAGAATCCATTCCTGCATTCATGCAAGCAGTCAAAACACGGGTATGCATACTGTTTCCTGTTTCCACTCTTTTTTTTATTCCATTTACATTACTGCCACACACGCGCACACATATAGATTCAAATGGCCATGTACCTTGCGAATCCGGTTTGAGTCTAAAACTTTGTTTATGGTTATTGATAATTCTTTCAAGGTTAACTGCTTACTAAAATCTGCCCGAAGGAAATATTTTCTTTATATAAAATTATAAACAAATTTTGCTATTTATATTCTATTCAGCATATTGGTTGTTGTCTTTGTTAAAAATTGTGTAATTAGTGTGGGTTGCCCCCTTTCCTTCTGAGCGAGCTTTTGGTTTGAACTTGACCCTTGTGCATTTATCATTTGTTTCTTCTTAATTTTCCTATTCTCGGTTTATTACTTGTCAAGACATTCTTAAAAGAGAGGAAAAATGTTTCTAAATAGAGGACTACACAAGGTTCCTTGTTACCTTCTGCAAGGCTGTTATCTTCAAGAAATTTTAGTTCCCTTTATGAACAATTGAATGAGTGGGGCCAAGCGTTAAAATTACTTGCTACACTTTTCAGGGATCTGGACGCTCTAGAATTTCTCCCTATTTAGACTCTTCTGAGGCTGTCACTCCATCCGAAAGCCCGAAGGTTTTTCCTCGATTTAGGTCTCTCTCTCTCTCTCTCTCTCTCTCTCACACACACACACACACAGACACGGACACGCACGCACATTAACACGCACGAGTTTCATATTTGATGTTCTTGTGCTGTAGCATTCTTGCATGTTGAATTTATTAATAATGCATGTTAGGACTGTTGTACTATTGCCTGAATATTTTTTGTTATATCATGCTCACAAAATAACAAGATATAAAGGTCATTTTCCATGGTCCTTTCTTTTTAACTTTGTTTCTATACATGTCCAAGATTAATTATACTTCACCTTGCTGCCTGTGCGTGCCAAGGCTCATTCTCTCTCATGATTTTTCCTTTGCAGTGATGGCTTTATGGCGAATTACTATTCCGGCCCTCTTTCTCCTTCTCAAAACTCTGTTTCATACTCACCCCCACCTCAGTTTAAAAAAGGACGAGTTTCCCCTGCTCCATCTGGTGCTTCGACTCCACCAGGTGGCAGCACCAAGGCTACTGCTAGTCCGCCATACCATCTAAACACAACAAGTCAGTCGAGCAAGCCTAAAATATTTCGTGGGTTTCTTCAGAAGGCTCATTCATCGGTGGATAAACTCTCGCGTGGAATTGACTTTTTTGAACAAGAGTTCGAAAGGCCCATTGCACAGAAAGAGAAGTTATATGACACGCATATGATGTTAGCCGATCGGGTGTCACCACAACTGTCTGGTAATCTCGTGACACATCGACCAAAGGTGGAACTTAGACCTAGTCCTACATTGCCCAGTCGCAAGTACGAATTTTGATGTATATCGTATTTTCTGCTGGAGGACGAGATGTGCAAACCTGTGATTAGTATCTAAATTGTACAATTGTAAATGAAAGAAGATAGAGAGGAGTCGATATTTTTTCAAGGTAATATGATACCGATATGAAAAATTTGCTTGGAAACCTAATTCAGCTTTATCTAGTGATTTTTTTTCTCCCCTCAGTCGGCAAGTACTAATCGAGATTATCTTCATTTTGCAGAGAGAAACTCCAGCTGCTAACTATACCTTGATGCTTGACCTTGACTGGTGAGACAAAATGTATATTCTATTGGCTTGGCTAAAGAAAAGGAACAGAGAAAAAAAGATAGAAATGATTGGACTTGATAATGAGTTATACAGCGTGGAATTTTCCTTTGGTTTTTGTATAATTTGTATATTTATAGGCGAAACGTTTTGAAGAGTCATATTCCCAGGTGATAGATTCTCCATTGAAACAGAACTTGCTGAAAATGGTTATGAAGTATGAGAACAGCTCATTCAAAATTGTAATGAGCTGCTTTGATACATGTTTTGTACTGGAATTTGAAGTTGTAATGTAATTACCTGCTCGTTCAGCTATTTCGTGGTCCAACTACACTTCAAAATTGCAACATATATGAGAAGGAAGAGAAAAAAGATTTGGCCTGGCATAGAAAATATCAAGTGTTGACTGATCATATTCAATGGTTTATTGACCGAAACACTTACAAGTTCAATGGCTTATTGATCGGACAAGTGGTTTGAACAATTTAAATTTTTTTTTATGATACTTTATAATATAAATTCAATGGATAAAAATAACATTGATTTAATATTTACATAACTCAAGACAAACAAAAGCCTTAATTAAGCTGACACAATAACTTATACATAACCAAATATTCGACACCATTTTGTAACAATCGCAAGATGAATATTTCAACCTATTGAACTAATGACATCCACTGGAGATAGTTCCAACACTCAGCAGTCGATTAACCACACTGTTCATCATCATCCAGTATCTGTTGTCCATGTGCCTACTGCTGAAAAGCCTGAGAAATTCAACGGCATAATTTTAAGTGATAGCAACAGAAGATGTATTTTTACCAGACCACTTTAGCTTTGGTGAAGTACCTGAAGAACGACCTCCCGGTTATTGCTGAAAATGAGACTAATGTTGAACTTCGCGCTGCGTATGGGGCAAGGTGACTACCTTTGTCGTAATTATGTTCTGACTAGACTTATTAACGAGTTGTACAATGTGTACAACTCGGTTGTTTCTGCCAAAGAGCGTTGGGCTACTTTGGATAATAAGTTTGAAGACTGACGATGCCCAAGCGACGAAATTCGTCGTCGGCAAATTTCATGACTTCAAAATGGTCGACTCGAATACTGTCGTGTCTCAAGTGCAAGAGATTCAAATGATCTTGCATGATATATATGCTGAAAGAATAACTTTGAGTCGCCCTTCCAAGTTGCGGCAATGATTGAGAAGCTATTGATGGGTTGGAAAGACTTAAAGAACTATCTCAAGCATAAAAGGAAGGAAATGAGTCTTGAAGGCCTGGTTGTTAGTCTTCGTATTGAGGCCGACAATTGTAATTCATCTGGGAAAGCTCCGATGATAAAGGTTCGTGCTAACTTGTTGGAGCAAGGCAACTCGAGCAAGAGAAAGTCACTTACCAAAGGGAAGTAGCCCGCCAAGGTTTGGAAGTTTATCGATAACTGCCACAATTGGGGAAAACCGAACCACATGGCAAAATACTGCAAGAAGCCAAAGAAGGTTGGGCCGAAAGAGAGTGCAACCAAGTGTTCTCGTTGCTGAACAAGGTCATGTGCCGGGTGAACTAACCGACTTTGATATGTCGGTTGTGGTGTTTTGAAGCCAATATAGTGGATAACCCAAAGGAGTGGTACATTGATACCGGTGCCACTCGCAATATGTGTTCCGACAAAAAGTTGTTTCCTGATTACACTCTTTCTACTGGTCGAAAACTCGACATGGGCAACTCCTCCTCGTCTGATGAGGCTGGAGTTGGCACCAGGGTGTTGAAGCTAACTTCTGGAAATGAATTGAAGCTTAAGGATGTTTTGCATGTCCTGGATATCCGCAAGAATTTAGTCTCCAGATCTCTTCTTGTAGAGTATGGATTTAGGCCCTATTTGATGCTATGAAGTTTGTTCTTAGCAAGTTTAGAACAATCGTTGGTCATGGCTATCTCGACAAAGGTTTGTTCAAAATGAATTAATGGTTATAAGCCGTGTAACCGTTTCCAGTTATAATGAAATGCCTACTTATGTTTATACCGTTGAGTGCTCTGATTTATAGCATATTAGATTAGAACATATAAATCTAAATACAATTAAACGGTTAATGAATTTTGAATTAATTCTTAATTCTAAAACTGAGACACAAAAAAGTGTGAAATCTGTGTTGAAGCCAAAATGGCTAAGTTACCTTTTCAGTTGAAATGAGTACTAAGCAGTTAGGCTTAATCCCTATTGATGTATGTGATTTGAAAATTGTACAAACAAGAACGTGTAAACTATGTATTTTATAATTTTGTTTTATCTATTATTGCACAAAGTTTTGCCACTTATTTTTGTTAAGAAGCAAGACAAGACTATGGAAGTGTTTAAGAACTATAAGACCGAAGTTAAAAATCAACTCGGCAAGAGAAAATAAAATAATTCCAAGCGATAAAGATGGAGAATATGTAGCTCTTTTAGAAATCAACTTCAAGAGAATTATAATTTTTTTTAATCTGCATCATAGCTATAATAATAGTATTTAATACTATTTTTGTGCATCGATAAATTATTTTTTTTTTCGTACGGGGACCTTTCGGTTTCCGGATCCACATGTTAACTTTAACATATATAAAAAATTACTATTACAAACCTCAAACTTATCCTTATTTGTGTTTTTGCCAAGTTAAAAGTCCATTTGAGAAAGTTTATTTATTATATGATTATATAATTATTTATAGAATTTCATCCCAATAATTATTCAAGGAACAACCATAACTTGTACCAAAATGAAATGAAACGAAACATGAAAGAGAAGAAGAAGATAATACAAACGCTTTCATTCAT